TTTGTACGATGTGATTAATTTTAAGTGATATTTAATAAATACGTACCCGATTTTCCCATTATTCTATATATCATCCCTAACAAGTCTAAATTTTGAAATAACGCATCTTTTACTATGAAATAATTGGTTGAACATAGTCTATATACTATTTAACACATGAATTATATATCTCGAGAACCTGTAATTGGGTTTGAATAAAGTTGAGTTTGCATACGAAACCAGTGGATATATAAATAATAGCTAATATTATATAAAATTGTTCGCAATGCTGATTCTCTAATTTCATAAAATTTTTTTTCAATTAAAGCGCCCAGCAAAGTAATTAATTTTAGCAAGTGCAAAAACATATGTATAATTCCAATAAAAATTTTACAATGTTGATAATGAAATCAAAACTTGCTTGCGCTAAATTGCTAGGATCTCCAGAGAGATAAAATCTTCCTGAGTAATTATGGGATTATTCAATCAAAATTGCCATTTTTGGGCGTTGTCTAAAGTTGTGTATTTTCGTGAATTTTACGTTTTAATTATCACATCCGACAGATACAGTGTTGTGCCTAAACATATATAGGAACCCCACAGCAAAAAGTAACATTGGGCCAAAAAAATTTTTTTTTAAAAAATGCAATTTCTCGAAGAATTAAAGTAATAGGCATATAATTTTTATAAAATTACAGAAACAAAATTTTTTGCCCAATGCCACTTTTTGCTGTAGGTATTCCCATATGTCGTATCTTAGGTTAGAATTATTCCGTATCAGAATCGGGCTGTTCTGGATGGGAACTTGCAAATTACTGTATTTTGACAGAATTGGAACTTTAAGGTTAATACATATTTAGGCATAGTAATTAACGTTTTAGAGGTTTTTTAGAACCCTATTAGTAAGTAAAATCTTGCTAGAAACTGTACCAATGATCTATCAAGAACGGTATTTTTGCATGTCGCGTGTCTTTGTTAGCGAAAACTTCGGATTGAACACTATAGCGTCGCTTATACTCTATAATGTGGAGCTTAAATACTAATGGTAGTTTTGAATAAAAGAAAGATGAATTCTTAATACAGTTGAAACTGAAAGGAAGATAAAATTTTTTATCCAATGGGATTGACATATACATAGAAGCCTTGATCCTTACATCACATTAACATCACATCAGAAATTTAAAACATAATGATAACACTGGGATTTAATGAATGATAAGTTAAAAAAAACAATGGGTGATCTGGTCTGACTGTTTTAAATAAATAGCTATAGTATTCCCTTTTAGTTTCAAAATTAGGAATTAACGGGTTATTCATTTATCAATTAAACAATTACGGTGATAATGGTGGACCATTTAACTGATAAGGTACAATTTTTACCGAAGGTTTTTTTAAACAACTATTAGGCATTTTCTACTCGAATTCAATGAAAACTTTGTCGAAAAGTTTATTATTTACGTTTCAAATTTTATTTTGAGTGAAAAGCCAACACTTTTATGATTATTTTTCACTTATAGTACATAGGTTCGATATAACTATCAGACCTAACATCTGTCTAGTTGACGAAGAATTTTTAATAATTCATCATTGATTTTGTTTTTTGACTTGATACTATCAACAAAGATGGGTCATATATATTTGGGGTTTTGCTATTATCCAAATGAAGTAAAAATGTATAATGTCATTAAAAAGAGGCAACCCTACATTTCAAATAATATCCCGGCTCCGTCCAGTAACAAGTAATCTTATTTGGATTGAGAGAATTAACATCTAAATAGCGTAATGACGTTTTTAACATGACGATGTTTTATGATATACAAGTATTAATATATAACAACAGCAAACAAACAACCAAACATACCACACTCAATAAATTCACGTCTTTTTGAAAATAACGAGACTTTTTGAGGCTTAACGATGGAACTCCTAGTAATAGCACAACGATAGACCAATTCTTCAAGAACATCTTGAATTTCACAACGTGACATTACCAAAGAGAGTTTACGATGTATATTAGACTACATTATATCACAAAAAAGTATGTTAGCACATAAACTTTGATATGAACAATAATTAACGTAATAATTACCTCATATATTCCAGGCTTTTGAATAATAACTCCCAAAACCGCTTCAAGACATCCACTAAATACTGATTCGATAAAATTACCATTAATATCATACCACATCCGAGGTACGGCAAATGATTCAGTTGAAGTTTGCTTTTCTTGGCGTCGATTTTGTGAAAATAATTCTGAAGATGACGTCCCATCATCAAGATCCATATATTCGTCTATGCTCCTTTTGTTGGAACGATAAATAGGAGTTCGATGTGTCTTGACTAACCAACATTTCTCATAAATACTACAAACATAGCGGCTGTAGTTGTATCCAACTTTCTTAATAATACTTGGCTGATTTGATTCCAATAATGAAATGTAACAAGGAAAATCTGTTTCCGGGATATCCACCGATTTCTAAAAGATAATATGAAACATTGGTGAATCGAACGCCCGTAATTAGCCAATTTTAAATAAACACTTACCATTAGAGATGTTAATGTCGTACCGATGTTCCCAGCCTCTCGAATATAGTTATAAACTTTTCTAAGGCATTCTTTAGTATTAGTGTCGTGCAGTTTAAGAAGTTGCTGAAAGGCAACTAGTTCTTCAGCTTGCAAAGTCATTGAAGACAAATTGTTTGCTCGAGCTTTTACTAAACTGTGGGGAAACTCGTCTTCTTCACTTGTAATAGTGTGATTTGTTTCCTCATTATGGATTGACTTTTGTATTGGAGTAACCAACACATCAAAGTGAAGTTTAGCAGGATCTATTAACAATAAAAAAAATAATAATAAATTGTAGAAATACCTAAAGTATAAAGAAATATATAATCCATATATACTAAATATTATTAATGTCTTGAAACAACTTACCAATCTTTCTACTTCGGTGGTTTGGTATAATACATGTGGTAAATAAATCTTGGCTTCGATCGGAAAAGGACAATGAAATCTTAATATTATTAAAAAAAAAAATTGATTAAATAAATCTTAGATCAAAAAAAAGAAGATCATGCATAACAGATTATTAACCTTGCCCGCAGATAATTTATCCAATAAACAAGCCATGTCTCCACTATCTGAAAATTGGTCAAATAATGTTGCCATAGTCAACTTTTTATGACAAGTTATGGCCTGCGAAAACATACGATCAGGTAAACTTCCTGATATAACTGAAATAAACCTAAATTAAATAATATTATTATTTATCTGTATTTTTCAGTAAATAATGAGATAAGTAATACTTTACTTGTCGGAAAATTGGTAGCCCCGACCAGGAACTCTTCGATCAGATCCGCCCTTCACTTTAACTATAGCTCCCGTATCTTTTAATTTTTCAATAGCATTTTTCACAATTGCATCAGGATAGAAATTAAGAATTGAAAATGCATGTGAAGGATCATATTTATCATCTGGAGTCATGAGAATCATCTGCAAGAATTTTGTTGAATAAATAAAAAAATAATAAAATGCCAAGTATCAGAAAAATGTTTTTAAAGCAAATTTTTACCTTTACCAATGCTTGGATGCATTGAATATGAATGTCATTTTCATTTATATCCAAATTTTCATAACAATCTACACCTCCATTGTAAAAAATTCGGCATGTCACAGGATGAGAATAGAGCATCGAAAATTTCTGCCGTAAGGAAGCACCAACAAGTCTATCTTCATAAAATAGATTTTGCTGACGCATTGACGACACGTAGCTTTCGATAAAAACGTGTTCGTATGTTTGAATGTCACAAGGTAAAGGAATTATCGGATTAGGACTCTCTTTACTAAATGTACATACACAAAATATTATTATTTAAACGCATTTTGGATACGTATCGTAAATACGTATTGTATTTATATATATTATTATTATTGAATATATGTTGCATGTAATAAACTTGCCTTGGATGATGTTGTAAAACCTTCATAAAGTAGTCCAAATGTCCTGGTAAATCAAAATTTATCATATCTGACTCATCGTCATCAACAATATGTCCATTTTTCAATCCGGCTTCATACAGCCTTGGCCATTGACTCAACAATACATTCACTCTTTCTAGTGTTGTCGTATTTTTGATCAAAACATTTAACCTTCGGCGGCAATTCTCGGTTGTTTTGTGCGGTAAAACTTTAGTTATTGCACCCCATAAGAACCTTGATTTTTGTGAACGAACTTTGAGAATTACATATATATGAAGAACCACTTCGTCCTCATGTTGACTCCATTTTGGACGTGAACGTTGTGAAAACGTTTCATATTGTGTCTCAAATCGTTCTTTTTTTTTTTTAATCATATAAAAATTATATAAGTCAGGCCGTTTTTGAGTATAAACGAATAATTAAATATTTACCTTCATCAGCAATAATTGGCAAATTTTCTTCTTCGGCAATAGATCCTGTGTCTATTAATCCTTTTTGCTTAAACTTTTCTCTCAAACTTTTACGCCCAGCATGATTACAAGGTACTGCTTGGACAGCATCTCCCGTTTTTCTTACTACTTTATGAACCATTGTTTCTCTTTTCCTTCGTTTAAACGAAGGCTCACCTTCAGCAGAAGTAACAATACCAGAAAAATTCTTTGACTTTGTTGCAACCTTACGTCGTCTTTCCTTCTGCTTAGCTGCTTTAGCATCATTCCTTTTCTTTTCAAAACTATTTTCAATGTGCTTAAAGTAGACTCTTACTCTTGTAAATGGGAGGCTACATTCTTGAGCAATTTGCCTACATAAAGCTTCATCTTCGTAAGGCGTCTTGGATTTTCTACGATTTACATAATGTTCTAATCTCTTTTTTTGCTTAGAAGTTAAAGGATAGCCTGCATTCCAATTACGTGACAAAGTAATAAATCTTAAAGGATCTAAAGGATCATCATCATGTGTTACTTTCTTTCGAGGTTTAAAAGTCTCTTCATCGCCACTTAATTCATTATTACTTTTGTTCCCCGTCTCAACCATTTTTTGTCGTGCAACATATTGCAATTCATTCCAATAAATCGTCACATCTTCAACTGAATCAAGTATATAATCTCTGATAATTGGTCTATCTGGTCCCGAAACTGAGAAGTCAATCATTGGAACATGACGCATTAATTGATACGCTGGAGCTAAAAGGGTTTGTGGAGGACTACATGATGTTGGCGTAATCTGTGACGATCCATCTTCAAAATCATTTGATTCATTATTTTCAATCTCCAAAACAGGATCACCACGTTCATTAAAACCTCTCCTAATTGGTTTTAACATTTTCAATGCCACAAGAATGTCCATTAACTTTTTTAAGTTTTGTCTTAATTTATAATTTCCAGAAAAAAGTTCTGCTCGCAATTCTGATGGAAGGTTAATAACGCTTACTGACAAGCTTTGTCCAGAACGAACATACTCGGTCAGCCGATGGCTCGGGATTGATTGTCCAATGACTTTAAGATATAATTCAAGTGGTAGATCACGAAGAAGTATTGCTGTATGAAATGTTCTCGCATTTTTTTCAATACATGAATCGTTAGGAGATGCTTCAATTATTTTAGTAATTAAATATTGATGTAAAATTTTTGCACGAATCATTTTGGCATTAATCCAACCATAACCACGGGCGGTATGAAGCCACCACATTTCATTAGAAGTCTGCATATGAGGTTTAACTGTAGTTGAGTCTGACGCTTCAGGTGTATCAGATGCGACTGGTTCAGAATTAGCATTTGAGGACATAGTAGACATAAGTGTTTCATAAGATTCGGGTTCTTGACTCGATGTTGGCACACTAAGTATATTAATTGATTCATCAGCTGCAGCTACAACTGCAAGACGTTTTTGAAGTTGCTCAAGAGGTTCAACTTCAATATCTAATTCTTCAATCTTAGTCTGCTTATGAGATCTACCAACAAGTATAGCTCTATCTTCCATTTTTGCAACATATTCTTTTACTATCGGGCTTGAAGGCGTCAAGTTTGGATGAAGAAAAAGGGTTTTTGTGTTAAAACTACCATTTAATAATGGCAACTTTATATTATAGGATCGAAGAAGGCCTTTTTCTTCCATATCTTCACCAGTACGTTTAAGAGTTTTCTTATCAATTACATGGCTAGACGTACTATTTGGTCCATCTTTCAATGTTTGTTGATATTGATATAATTTAACAAGTTCAGTACTGAGTTCCACAACTTGATGTTGTTCTAAAATTTGCGATATCATATTTGTTCTTATTGCCGCTGTAATTGAAGCAGAGCTGGTAAACCTCCTTTTAGTCGTTTTCCTACGTGATACATATTTCCTACGTGATATAGATTTTTTCGGTTTCTTAACAGCATTTATAGAAGCACATTTTTTCGGTTTCTTAACAGCATTTGTTGAAGCACATATCTGATTTTCGTCATTGGTGTTAATTGATAAATCTTCCATGCAATCATGGCCATTTAATGGTAGAGAATTTTGAACATCAGTCACCTCAACATTAGTGGATGGCAGGTCATTGAATGCCATACAAACGTTTAACTCTGATTCAATATTGGAATTCATATCATTCTCAAGTATAATATCTGTATTCAAGCTTGATTCAATATTGTCACCCACAGAATCATAAGTAGGATCAATTTCCATCAAATCAAATTGAGGGTAATCGGAAGTTTCAGTAATGAATGTTGGAGATAAATCTAGTTGAGTGGATTGCTCAACACCAACTTCTGTAGATACATTCATTGGGTCATCTGTACTTGAACTACAATTATCGGTTGCACCTTTTTCTAATAAAGGACGCGAATTGTTCAAATCCATGCTAACAGCAGTGTCTCGATCGTTTATTATGGAGGTTGAATTCAAATTAAATGTAGAAGCCATAATATCATCGTAGCTAGTTCCAGAAACATTAGAAATAATCGATGTTGTTTTATCAGATAAAATGGCATCAGTTACTGTTACGTCACCATCTAACTGTACATCGCTAATTTCAATATCAGGCCCCAATTTTTTATCGATCGTTTTTTTATACCTCCCCCTACGTTTGCGAGGTTGGATTTCTAATTTTTGTGCATCGTTCAGTTCAGTTTCATCATTATCATCCTCATTTTGAGTGGCCCGCATTTTTTTTCGTGGTGGCTTTCTAGGTTTTTTGTCTTTACTTCCTTTTGGTCTCCCTCCCTTACCTTTTGGCACAGCAGGTTTTTCATCATCAATAGCAATTTTACGGGGGCGTCCTCTTTTTTTTTTAATAGGCTTCTCAGGAGGTACACTTTGATTAGCATCAGATTGTGTCATTCGCCATTTTTCTTTTTTTCTTTTACGTCGATCCCTACACTCCTGAGATTGTAAAAAGTCTACATCCCTTTCTTCTTCACCATCCTGAAGAAATTCTACACCCCATAACGGATCATGAATGTATATTGGAGATGTTTGATTTTCTTGAAGTTGCTGCACATTATCTTCTAATGCTATTCCACTGGAAGTAGCAAATTTTATATATCCATCAAGGGAGAAATAACGGTATCTTCTTTCGCGACCTTGAAATTCAGAAGCACGTTTCACAGTAAATCGACTTAAACCTGATGGTGTCGGTTTGACTAATCGCTCAAGAATTTTTGCCAAAACGCGATGATTCATATTTCCAAAAGAATTTTTGATGGCCTAATAAAAAAGTGAGATATATCTTTGAGATTAATCCTTTTAACATAAGATTAAGATTTCTTGTACAAACCCCAGCAGTAATTCCATATTCACCGACGCCTTGTATTAATTGATACACTTGATATTCTAAGGGCAATTCAACATAAATTCCATTTTGATGATCCTCTGCCATATTTTGACTTTTAATTGCCAGTCCGGATGTACTTGTAGTCAGTTTATGATTATGTTTTCCTAATATGTATAAATGTATAAAGTAAGATATCTTCAATTATAATAGTAAAACAATAAAAAAATAAATTCAAATATTTACCCATTTCAGGATCTTTTCCTTTTTCATAATGTGTAATAAGTCTTAAACATCGTTCTAATTGTTTATTCGAGTCTTTTTTTGGTACATTTACTTTTTCAATATACCCCTGATGTGATAGCGTTCCAATAGTTCTATTAAACCAGCGGCGCTGTTTTTTTGTTGGTGTCGATACTCCAAACTACATAAGTACGATCAGTACGGACAAATATAATAATCAAAAAGAAACAAAGAAGTGTCCAGAACTGAGCAAATTTAACGAAAGAATATCTTCAACCGTACCAATGCTACCATTAAGTCATTAGCCAACATAATCTGATTCTTAGCTTTTCCCAATATTTCAGTAAACTTCATTTTAATCAACTCAGAATTAAAAGATACACCACCGCTAACTGTATCCGTTGGATCAAAAGTATAATCAGAAGATTGAGATGATCGTGAATTATTAGAAGATGAATTGTTTGTAGGAAGATATACGGATTTTCCCAAATACGCAGGATTTTGAGAGGCGCATTTCGTGAGAATACATAAATTTGTATATATTCCTTTAGTAACGACCGGTAACTTTACTCTAGAAGTTATAAATAAATATTAAGCCGAGAATTTATAAATTTTACAAATAAAATTAACAAAATCGAATAAATAAATTACATTAGCTTTAAATTGATAAGTGTCTTTACATAATGATAAAATGATCTTGGATCTATCTGTAAATCTTTTGCCATATCTGCTTGAGTGGCACCAATTGCACGATGTCGAGCAATGTACTGTAATATACTATAGACTATTGGCGTCATTTGTCGCGTCGTCTAAAATAGCAGTATTCTGATAAGTATTGAAAAAATCAAATCAAATTTACAGTAGGTAATACAATCCATACATCAATAGATCCAAATATTATCCGCTTTTGATATTCAGGTATAGTTTTTATTCGGAATCCATCATAATTAATTTGCACATCTTGAAGAGACATTTTCACAATTCTATTTTTATCTAACAAAATTTCACCCTATTTATATGAAGAATTCGGAATTATTACCAAAGTATATATCAATGGGCAGAAATAAGAATATGATAAAAATTAACTTGTTTCATATTAAGGTTTTCATTCGTCAGATCCGTTGATGCATCTAGAGTTGATTCATCATTTGCGTTCACATTTGAAAGGAAAAAAACTAATACTTTAGCGTCCACAAACTGCGACCAAAAATACGATTTGTATAAGTCGTCTAAGCATGGTATGGAAGTTTTGGATGATTGTGTAGAAGATTCAGACTGAATAGAGAGAACTTTCCTATCTCTCAATCGTTGATCGAAAAAATTCTGAACAAATTCCCATAATCTATCAAGATTACAGCCTATTATAAGTAAATTGCAGAAAACTTTTAATATTATTTTGATTTTTAGAACTATATAGTTTTGTTCAGAAATATACCTAAATCTCCGTCTAATGCGAGTTCTTCCAGACAATGAACAATAATGTCGTCAATCATAGTTTTTAGTCTTAATGATAAGATTGAACCAACGAATTCAGGTGAACAACTAACGATGATAATGCAGTAATCATATCCTGATCCTGATGGAAAACTGCCTATAGCTGCCCAATCAGAATACAAGGTCAGGTTACCTGCTCCAATCTGGGACCCGTGGATTCGGATTCTGTCCAATCAACATCATCAGTCACAGGGATAAGATCAAGTGTAATGAACATAGCGGGCTTTAATTCTGATTGGTCAATCACTAAATATATCGTCACATATTACACCACATATATCATCTGACT